CCCCCTTTTTTACTATGTTGATTGAATCTCCTTGACTCAACCATCTCAGGTTTTACCCTGATGCCAGTGCTGCTCCCTAAGACACTATGCCCATAGTTGGCAACCTCTGACCCATCAAGAAAGTAGATGTGATCCAAACTGATTCACAGTACTCGAATGAAAGCTATAATATGATAACTCGTTTGCATACAGGTTACTAAAAGCATTCTAGTTTCGTCCAAAATAAACTAACACAGATTGGAAAAATTACTGGAAAAGTCTTTATTTTTATTTTAAATTCAAATGATTCGCTGTCTTTTTTTTAAAAAAAAAAAAACCACACAAAGGCATTAGTTATACTAAATGAGTGAACTCTTTAAATTGCCTCTGAAACACATAGCTCGGAGAAAAAACAAACTTCCCACCTGCCTGACCCTACTATTACAGTATACAAGGCTTATTTGATTTGGGGGAAAAAAATCTCTATTTAATAAAAGCCCAACATACTAACTCAATGTGTTACATGGACTGGGCATTCTTCCCATGTAATATACACCTTTCTTTGATAACTGTATTTACTCAAAAGTAAACTGGGAAAAGAGCAGCAATAAATTAAAATAAAAGAAAACAGGATTACCAATAATGATCAAATAGCAAAGCTCAGATAGATATCACAAAAGTTGAATAATGCAAGCAGACACTAACATATGCATACATGCAAAATAATAATAATAATAATCTAAGTGTATGTTCCTTGTACATTTTCAAAAGCGTTCTATGCAAATGTACTTTGTCTATATAACATTAGGGAATATAAATGTAAATAATGTTCGGATTAATAAAAAAAATAAAAAAAAATGCTATAACCGTGTTTTCTACTACAGTACGTAACTACTGTGTAATGGGCAGTGTGCTGTACCAAACACAGCATAATGCCCCGGTTATCTTAGGTTATAGACTATGCCAGTACATTATGGCAGAGATACAAGCATTGTTGTCAGCAAGGCACTGACCATACATAATAGCAGTAGCTAAATACCTTAAGGTTTATATAAATATATATAAAAATATTTGGCATTCACTGAGAACATAAATGTGTCATGGAATCTACATGTCTTTAAATGATACAAAAATGTGACTGTTTACAAAAATTAAGGTTTTGTAAAAATATAAATAAATAATGCTATCTCTAAGTGGCTAGAAATACATGTTTTATTTATATAATTTTATTGAATGAAACATGATACATGAAGTCAAAATATACTGAGGCATATAAGTAAAACAATGAGTATGCAATGAAATATAGTGTTACCTTGCCAAAGAATAGCAGTATTGTTAATAATAGTGGTGGTGGTTATTGAAATAATAATTATATTAACAATGGAAAAATTTAAAACACAAAAAAAAACTAAACACATGAAATTAGAAAAGGCATTACATACAGAAAAAAAGGGAAAAAATATACATTCCTACCATGAAGGTAAGGTTTTATTTTCTGAAAAAGTGTTCGTCCTCACATTAACAGCATGTCTGTGTACATATACCATTTCCCTAAGATAAAGATAAAAGAATTTATCAGTTGTCTGGGGGAAATGCCTTTAAAAAAAAAAAAAAAAATTAAAACAAAGCAAAACATTTCCACCATTGATTAGTGAGAAAATAAACAGTATATAGCATATAAATCATATGCACTATCCATTAAGCATGCATATAAATAAATAGGTAATCCTAATATTAAGGTGTATAAATCTATATAGATGTAAAATAGTATATTTTATCATCAAATAATGCAATATAAAATTATATATTACAGGGTGTTAATGAGAAAAAAAAGTCTATATTTGTGACCCTGTACGTAAACACACATACATTCATGTACACAATTACAACGTAGTTACTGCACTCTAGCCCCACATAGTCCTACAAACACAGATGTGACATCAAGGTGTAAGAGGTCTTTTTGGGAAACATAATACAAAACACACACACACATATACAGCGGAGATGTATATATGTTCAGAGGGGGACAGAGCTATAAGGTAAAAATCTGTGGGTATCGTGCACACACACACACAGAACAAGTTGGAAAGCCCAAGCAGAGGAAAGCAAAGAAGATGTAATGACTAGTTCTATGTGTCAGGCTGCTGGGACTAAGGGTGTCACTCCTACACTATCAAACACACACATAAAGCAGGACTGGAGGCAGAGAGGCTAAATATTTTACTGTCAGAGCATGTCTAGGATAGGAATTCATTTCTCTCCTATGTACTTCAGGACAATGACAATTTAATACAGGGCTATAGGATG